GGTCAGCCCCATGCAAAGTGTTAATAAAAATGTTTGAAGGAAAGCATTGCACGAACTATTGTATTCTGGTGACCTTCAAACTAAAGTTTGTGGGTTTTTCTTCTCTCTCTTTTTTTTTTTTAATACAATATAATTTTTCTAGATAGAGACAATGTTGTCTTTAATTCTTCTGGAAGTCAGCAATGTAACGGGGACAGCAGCACTTCCAATTCTGGTTATACATGTAAAAACATCTGAGGGGTGGTATCAGAGCTGTAGCACGAGTCAGGAGCTTGCTGAGGTGGAATCAGTATGTTGGGATGTGAACTGCTGTGATCTATCACACTGCATTGTACCTATGTGCTACTCTTTGAGAAATTCCCTGCTGTGTATCATCATTTTCCCTTCTCCTGAGCATGCTGCTAAGGTAAAAACCTGCAGCATATTTGTATCAGAATCTTATCTGTCAACTGCTGGCCTCTCCCAGCCTTTGCTGAAGCCTGTTCTTGTTGGCATACAAACCTTTTAACAAAATATTATTTTTACATTAAAAAATATAAAATTACCTGTAAATGTACTTAAATTCGGGCCCATTCTCAGTCCATCCCATCTCGTGCATCTTTTTTTGAAGGTGAACAGCCTTTCTGACTGCAGCTTCATACTTCTCATTCTGGCTCTGGAAATACTGATTTTCTCTGCTAAATACAGGGTCACTTTCAATAGCTTCAACTGCAAAGCAACACAGAAGAGTTAGCTCTCCTGGGGCTGGGGAGGTGCAGGCAATGTGGGCAGGGCTGGGGTGGTGGGTACCGATGCTCTATTATTTAGGGTGACTATAGGCAGATTTTATTTTGCTATGCTGGCTCTGATTGCTGTCACACCTAACTCTGAAAAGCAGAGATTTGGAGAAGGAGTTGAGGAGGAGAACCCAGCAGGCCTGTGAGAGGAGTCTGTTGAGTGGAAATAGTGACTATGCAAGGGAAAGCACTGTCCCTGGTCAGGGCGTCAGAGGTGACTTTGTGCCTCAGGCAGCAAACAGGTGTGGATCCCTCTTGAAGAGCTGTTCTGGTGGCAGCAAAGCTGCAGTTTAGCTGGGTTTTAGCCCAGAGAGAAGCTAACAGCTCCAGCTGCCGAGTGTCCTGCTTATACCAGTGCTTTGGCTCAGGGCTCTATCAGCCCTTCACAATGCTGTGAAGCAGCTCTTGGCCTCATTCTTTCTGTGTCAGCCCAAATGCTCCCGCTATTTTACCGCTATTTTATTATGCCTTGAAGCCTTGAGTCCATGCATGTTTAAGGTTATACTGAACTCCAGTTGCACTGTGAATTGTGCAGTCCCAGTGGTCTGTGCCATTTTCACTTGTTCAAGGTATAATAGGGATGAAGTAATAAGAGAAAAAACAGGGGGTTGATTCATTTTTTTCTCTATCTAGCTATCACGAGTGAAAGCAGCTTAGCCTGCCTGAGCCAACCCATACACGGAGCTCCCCACCTGAATGAGGCTAATGTGCTGAGGAAGGCTGTTGGCTCAGTTCATGCACGGTGTGCAACACTGCACATCAGCACTAGCCCCTGTGTACATCCCTATTGCACAGAGATGCTTGCCTGTGTGACCCTCAATTCAACCAGTCTTAGCAAAGATACTGGGGATGGGAGCAGGGAAGGGACAGCAGGAGTGGCTGTGGAGGAGTCATGATTTACGCTAACAGGAACTCCATCTCCACGCTCCCACTTCTTTAAGAGATGGGCAATAAGCAAATACCCAGGAGCACAAACCCCACCGTGCTGCAAAGGAGGAGCAGAAAACAGCAGGGATGTAGCCATGCCCTGCTCAAGTGCAGCATCGTGACGGTCACTCACCCACTGCCCTCCGTATCCGAGTGTTCTCCTCCCCTCCATCCAGCAGGGCTGTGAGCTTTTCCACGCTGAAGGAGGGTGTTTGCCTCTCAGTGGCAAGGTCGGGATTCACACCACCAAGGGCTGAGCCCTGTGGGTACTTGCGGGTCTCCAGCAAAGCCATCCTGGAGGCTGCTCTGTGAAGGGATGGGAGCTCCTTAAGTGCTAGCCGGCCTTCAGTGGGTGATCGATGGAAGCGCTGGGTACAGGCAGGAGTGGTTTTAGTAGGTTGGCTGAGGTGGCTGGCACCTGCACAGGGGCTGTGTGAATATTGAGTATTTTCTTTCCCCAGTCCACCCCCAATATTTTATGAGGAGTCACTGCTGGAACGTCCCACAGCCGTGTGCTAATGTTTAAGGGAGCTCTTGGCCTATGGGTGCCAAAGAGGCTCCTGGACCTGTGCTCACAGTCCTGGCAGCTCTGCCCCTGCTGCCTCAATCCTGCTTTCCATGGGGCTCAGCTTTACGTTAACTCCTAACCTTTTAATTCCCGTGTTAGCAGATTTGTTACAGGATGTTAATAAAGTAGTGGTGTGCAGAAAACAAAGTAGATTTTCCTCCTGAAGAGGCTGCCTGCCTTCCTGAGCTACTTTTAATACTGTAAGGAATTCAAACTCTGGAAACTCTTGCAAATATGCTCTTAATTCCTAATTTTTTTTTTTTGTTGTTCCGAACATTAATTTATTATCCTGGGAGGGGGCAGAGCCTCAAAGCCGGTTTCACAAGACGGGAGTATCCCAGACCTACCCTTGAGCCGCTCCCGGAAGCGCCGCGCTCAGTGCTGGAGCCCCGGAAGGATTCAGCCGCCAGCTCACTCTTCCGTGAGGCTGCGTAAGGAAATCCCCCTCTGTGTCCGTGTGTCCGCTGTGTTCGGACACAAGCCCCATGTACCTTGTTCCACGCAGCCTTCAGGGAGCCACACGCATGGCTGCTGCTTACCTGGCCAGGCTCTGCCTGCCAATGTTCCCCCCGCAGGGACCTTGTCCCTGGGGCCAAGGGAGCCTGACCCGTCCCATGGGTGTTCCTGCGTGTGTGCAGCGTGCTGGAGCTGACCTCTGCAGGCAGCGGCCTGGGAGCCTGCTAGGATTTTCCCGTAGGAAAATCCCATAGCAACCGGTGCCGAAAGGGCTGGAGCCTCTCAATAACATGCTGTTTTCCTGACCTCGCTTCAGGCTATCAGTGCACTGGAGGCTGCACTGCTGGCTCCTTTTCTCCTAGTGTTTTTAATTTGTACTTCTATTTTGTAGTCTGCTCTGGATGGAGGAGAGCATCCCTCGGGTGCTCACCGCTCCTTGCCTCTGGGTTTGACTTGCGCAGGGTTTTCCCAGCTTAGTTATGGCGCTTTCCTAAGGCCTTCCTGCGTTGGGTGATGCAAATCAGGAGGTTGGGAAATGTATCTTACAGGCTAGGATGTGCTGGGGGGCAGATGAAGGTTGCCATGGGGTGGGTGCTGCTTTCGTCTCTGTCCATCCTGAACCTGCTGCATTATATCTTGGTGTGTAGTGGGGGGCAGGAGCTGGTAACTCATCCCACCTGGCTACAGGAGGAGAGGAGTCCCTCCTGCCCACACTTCATTGCTGAGTCTGTGCTGCTGCTTCAGACATGCTTGTCTCCCACTGGAAACTGCTTTGTAAGGGAAGGAGATGAAACAGGTGGGATTCACTGAACTGCAGGGGTGCTTTAACATGGGAAGTTGATCAAAGGATGGGAAATCAGATAGGGTTTTGCGTATCTGTCATTTTAAGCTTCAGCCTGAGTGAACCAAGCCCAGCAGCCATGAAGAGCAACAATAAATCAGAGCACCTGACTGTAATGCAGTGAGTGTGCTCATGGGCTTGGTGTGTTAGGGATTAGTTTGGTAAAGGTGCTGTGTGGCTCCATCACCCTGCCAGAGCAATAGGACATCCTGTGGACATACTGCTTGGTATCCCGGTCCATGCTGCACAGCATCACATCCTATGGTGTCTCAGGGTTGTCAACACTTGTGAGGCAGTAGCTTCTTTCTGAAGTTTTCTGAGGGCTTTCTCTGTTCTGCTGTTTCCTTCTGCCAGTGTCAGAAGTGCTGGGCCTTGTGCTTCTTGAGTGCTGTTTGCCATTGCTGAGGCAGTAATGAACTAGACAGCAAAACACAAGGGTGCCCTGGTAGGAAATTCCACTGCAGCAAACTATCTATGAGCACTTCAGGAGTAAATGCGTGGGAAAAGAGACTTCAGCATGAGCTGGATAAATTGCAAAGCTGGTATTGAAAACTCTGTCAGTAAGAAGAAATTCAGGCAATGGAGAAGTTTGTGCCTAGCTAAAAGGCAGTGTTCTTTAAAGAGCAGAAGTGAGTATTCCTTACTCTCTTCTTCAAAAGAACTGTCACAATACGAACAACTGCCTTTGACATCTGTGCATGAAAGGAGGTGTGTGGTTAGTGGCAAGCAGTCCTGGGGCATAGCCCATTGAAATCTCCCCAGCTGGGGCTGTGGAAGGCTGATAAAGCACTTTATGTAAAGTCCTGCCTGGGTCGCTGGTCTCACGTCTCGCCAAAGGCTATGCTCTGCAGTGAAGACCTTTCCCTTTGTGTGGTTTGTGCCAGGGAATGAAGTATGTAATCTGCTGTGGTAGGACAACCAGTGAGCTATTGTTATAAGCAGCAACAATGTGGGAAGATGTTTAGTCAATGAGCCCTTATCCCTGATGATGAGCTGACTGCTCATGGGTGTAGAGCATTAGGAATACCATGTACCTCCCAGTGTGGCAATGCCAGCAGATACCTGGTGCCAGAGAAATGTGTTTAGTGCTGCTAAAATGCTTAAAAAATACTAAAACCCAGTGAAGCATCAGGATTCCCTTTCAGTTCAGATCCAGATTTTTAATTTAAACCCAAGGGCAATGTGTTTCCCTGGCTTTGTAGGTCTTACCCTGCCGGGTAGTTGGGCATCTGTGGCCAGATAGAAATAAAACATATGGGAAGTTTCAGTGCACAAGGCCTGATTCCACAATGTTCATGCCCTTAAACTGTCAGCAAATTGAGATAAAGCCTGGGGATGAGCAATGGATGCAGCATTGGGGCAGGTAATGAAGAGAGTGTATTGACAAGTAGGTTAACACAGCACTAACAAAGGAGTGGCTGTTGGACTTCACTGATCTTTATGTTCAGTTTATTTGGCTGTTGTCTGCTTGCATCCTCAGAGCTTCTTCAGTTTCTTGTGGAAGAGAGCAAAATATACAGTCACCATTTAGTTTATTTCTTCACAAGTGCCCACATTAAACAGTGTCAGTTGAGTTGTATGACATATAATTTTATATAACTGTATAACACCAACACCAACACAGAAAATAGACTATGTACCACATAGGCAACATACACAGTGCAAAAAATTGTCTTCCATCAATACTCTGATAATCTGTATCTTCTGGATACACCACATTTATTCAGGAATGTGTTTCAGGGACATAGGGAAGAATTCATTTAAAAGAAAAACAAACACAGATACCCCAAAATCTTCCTGGTGATGCCTACACAGATGATACCACCTCCATGCTGCCATGAAGCACAAGAGCATGGCCGAAGGTTGTACAAGCTCTTGTCTGAGCCCAGGTGGTTCCCAGTTCACAGGGGTGGAAAAGCTGTGTTGGAAGATGCCTGAGCAGTAAAAGTGTCATTTCCCATGTGCTGTTACGGGGGGCTGAAGCCAGTGATGAAGCACAGTATGTCCCGCTGTGTGCCATGGGGCTGCCACAGCCTGCCCTGGCCCCATGGGAGCTGCCAGTGCTGGTTTGGTGGGTTGGTCAAGTGTGTGGACGTATGGCTGGGTCCCAGCTCACAGCCTGCAGGGTCCTGGTGAGCTCAGGGTCAGGGCTTTCTGCTGTCTCTCCACTGCTGTAAGGAATTCTTGTGGCTCTATTAGCTCGGTCTGCGTTAGGACAGTGTGACCTAGTCCTCCGTTTCCCTTCTGAACATACACTGAAAATGACCCAAACACCCCTTAGCAATGACTGACTGCACTGGAGTGCAGCCCCACTCCGTGCTTGGTGCACACCACATTGTAGGGAGGCACCTTGATTATTGTTAATATTTCCAGATAATGTTTTTATACTCAAGAACATCACAGCAAAATGTTTCCAACTGTGTCAGTGCTGATCTCAGCATTCAGCCTACGGTTACTGGATGGCTTCCACCCAAAGACTTGCATAAACTCCCCCATCCCAGCCCGGGTGAGCTGATGACACTGATTTCACTGGTGCACATGGAGTGATAGATTGCCTCTCCTGCAGTGCATTTCCATAGGTGGCAAAATTACACATTAATTTGCTGAATTTTTTTGAGCTCTTTGATCAAGGTTACTTTATCTCTGCTGTAACCCCTCACAAAACCCCAGCATGGTAGGCTTGTGATTTAAACCAGTGTTATCTGTGGAGCATCATGCAGCATTCTTTACAGCTGTGGACAAGCATCCTTAGCAACACACTTTTTTCTTGGAGAAATTTGGCCTTCTTTCTGCCCCTGAAAAAATGGTTGATGCTGATTCTTCCACATGGTTTTAATTATAACCTATAAGAAAAGCTTCAGAGTTAGAAAGGACATCATAGATCCTTTTAGATCTTGTTTGACCCCATAGTGACCATGTGCACTGGATGATGAGAAAGGGGCTTAAAACCTACCTTAGAGACAGTGCAGTGAGATGGGGCTCTCCAGGACTGAAAATGAGCTAAGGGCTCTTACAGCTGCAGAAGCCCCATACCTCTATCACTGCTCTCAACACATGATGTGGCTGAGGTATTTTACTCAAGCTGAACAGGTTGAGCAACATCCCTCTGAAATGAAACACCCCACTGGACCAGGGAGATTAGGGAATGGATTAATAATGTTTTAATAAATATATGGTAAATGCCCAGTTTCCCTTAATTTACTTGTGGATACACTGAAGATGTGTAAATATCGTTTAACCAGGTATTACCTTCCCAGCTAAGTCCACTGAGGCTTGCCATCCAAGAGCCAGTTTAAAGGCAGTTGGTAAGTTACGCTGTTTAGGCTTTGAGTCAGGGCTGATGTGAAAAGTAAGAAGATGAGAAATCCTGAAGGTGCAATTTTAGTTCTAGATGTGGACACCTCAGGGCATCACTGTGACAGGCTCTTTCCATACATGGCGCAAATGCACCCTCTATCTCATGGAACCACAGACTGGTTTGGATGGGAAGGGACCTTAAAGCTCATCCAACACCTTCCACTAGAGCAGATTGTTCCAAGCCCCATCCAACCTGGTTTTGAGCAACCTGTCTCAGCTTTGCCACACCAGTAGAGAGATTTTTAGCTTTGTAAGGTGGCAACTGAAATGAGGCAACTCTGACCTCTGGAAAAGGGGATAAGAAGCACTGACAGTTTTGCATCAGTACCTAATGCAATCAGTAGCACCTCTCCATCACAGGATGTGTTTTTATGGGTTCCTATGGTAGCTCATGTCCAGCCGCTGGGTGAGGGGCTTGAGCTCAGTAGTTCAGGGGTAAGAAGCAGCTTGTCTGCCTGCTACATCCACAGGGATCTTCTGCCTGGTCACTACACACTGCCATGTACGCATATGCTGAAGACATCCAACCTTTGCTTTCTGCACAGAACATTTGCCTCCCACTTGGGATGCTGATGGTATAGCCCGATGTATTTCCTGCCCAAGTGTGAAACTGCCTAAATATCTCTTTTCTAACAGGTTTGAGATGCAGTTTAAAGGTGAGGAACAGTTGCACCTCCTGTGCTGCATTGGTGTGGGCACACAGAGGTTGACTCTTCTAATAGTATGGGTGTGCTGCTGGGACACAGCCTTAGCCAGGCTTGACAGGGACTCTGGGGAGAGCCACTGCGGTAATCGGGGCTGTTCTCAGTAATGCACAGATTGTCACTTTTAGTTATCACACCAGGTTTCCAGGAGGTTCCAAACCTGCAGCCACCCTCCTGTCACCTCATGCCTGGGGATCCTGCCTCGAGGAAGAAGCAGAGATCCCCCAAACCATCCCTCCACAGGCTTCCCTGGCTTAAACAGTTGCTGTGACTCTAGGGTTAACCAAGAGTTAGCTGCATATTAGCATGCACCCACAATCTGAGGGGAAACAACATTGTTTCTCTCTGCATCTCCTTGTGTTAGTACTTCAGTGAATACTGCACCTTTTCCACAGTGATACCTTCTGGCTGGGAAAACCTTTTTGTGCCTTCTACTGGAGCAAGTGTTAATAGCCATAAGTAGCCCCAGGATTGTGGCTCTGAATGTCCACCATGTACAGAGATGTCAGAGTGTGTTAGCGCCTGCCTTGGCAGGATCCCTGTTGAGTTTTGGCAGAAGCTACGCTGCTTTCTCATCCCCAGTCACCGTAGATGTTCTTCTGAGGTTTTCCTTGACCTTAATGAATTCTGGTGCATGGTCTTCCTGCTTCTCCTGCTCTTTCTCCAACTGTAAGAAGGAAAAGTCAGTTATCTGTGCATATTAAAGGACAAAAGTGCATTAGCTGCATTAACACAGTAGGCTTCATTATTGAGGGGTGTCCAGCTACTATGACCCAAAGTTGAAGTATAGAGTACATGGGTGCTCTCTTTTCCCAAACCATTATATCAGAGCCATGTTCACCCTGAATCTCTTTCTCTGGCCCACTGAAACATTAATTCATTTTGTTTTCCTCCAGAGAGAATGTGTCCAGCAGAAAAGCAGGGGAGTGCTTCATTTCAGACCTGGTGTGGAGGAGGGAGGAGGAGGTCCTGTGAGTCTGGGAAAACCTCTCAGCATTAGGTTATTGTCTAAGGGTAAGTCCTTACAGTGCTTCCCCTTTATATGCAAAGTCTTTATGGATCTGTCCCTAAACCACCTTTTCATTTTCCTGGTTCTTCTCTAAGAGTACTGGGCTTTGGTTTTTCAAGTCATCTTCTCTTGCCTGATGTTATTGCAAGGGAGCTGTGGTGTCATTAAATAAACTAGTTTCATCCATTTGCAGTGCAAACACTGGAAGGTAGGACAGGGAATGACTTTATTTTCAGTGGCAATGACACTCCTTGCTGCTTGCACTGGTTTGGGTAAGAGGAGCAGGGAAATGGCTCTGCTGCTGACAGGCACCTATGCTCAATATTGCTTTTCCCCAGCATATTTTTGGCCAGGAAATACACCAGGAACTGCTCCCAAAAGCAGCTTGGGTGTGATTGCAGCAGCACTGCACCTTCCAGCACTTCCACAGCCTTTCACCCCTCACCCCAGGATCCTGAGCACTACTTGTGATGGGTGCAGCAAAGCACACCCCAAAGACACCACTTGGGACCTGGAGGGGAGAGCCAGGGCAAGTGGTGTGTGGTGGGGGTCCTGGGTGAGGTGGTACAAGCAAGGTGGATCCCACTGTGAGGATGAAGGTGCTGCAGGATGGACTGTTTCCCCTTTTATGGAGGGGTAGCAAAGCTATATCTTGGTTTGAACCTCAGCCCACTCATCTCCTCTGTGTTCTTATGCAGGGTCATTAGGACAAGCCAAGGATGGCTTGAAAACCCAGTTCTACCTGGTCCAGCCTCTGGTGCCTCTTTAATAGCTCTTTTTCAAAAGGACACTGCAATTTCTTTGCCTCTTCCTCTTCCTTCTTCTTTCTGATAAGCTGATTTCGCCGTCGGTGCTCGAGCACCCGCTGCAGCTCTGGCTTACTCTCCATGCTCAAACCTCTGTGGATAAAAAGCAGATCAATCAGGGCAAAAGAACTAACATCCTATGGGTGTAGCCACTGACAGCCCAGAAACCCCAAAGCTTTTCTCAGCCCTAAACAGAAACATCAGGGACCTGGTCCACAAATCCACCCACAACGTTTTGAGAGTGTTTCCCTATTGCTGGGATGGTTCCTGGGGTTGCTTGCTTTGGGTGGGCAGAGAGTTTGCTGTCTTCGTATGCGGCTTGTGGTGCTGGAAATCTTGCTAATGCCATTACATTGAGCTTGCAGGGTATGGTGTGGAAATGGGACCTTCCCTGGCCCTTGCTATTGCCAGTTTCACGATGTCAGTGACAGATTGAGCTGCGCTAAAGGCATGTTAAATAATGATTTTTTTTCCACCAGCAGGGGTAGTCATTGATCTGCAGTAATTGCCGCGGCAGCTGCGTTCCTCCCTTTTGCTTCCCTGCTTTGTGTCAGAGCTGAGGGCTCGCCATCCCCCTGGTGACATGGAGAGGTTGGGTCAAGAGGCCAAAATGAAACCTCCTTTGTTGTTAGAAGCCAGAGCTTTTGTGCCTGGCTCTCCTTCAGCTGCCCAAGCATCCCAGAGGAAGCGGGGCTGCTCCAAAGCATCTCAGATGGGTAGGGGCTGCTCCAAGCCCTGCTCTGTGAAAGACGGGATCACAGGGATGGAGACATGGCAAGGACGTGCAGGCAAGGTGTAAATGCATGGTAAAGAGATGGAAGAAGTTCACTAAAAGTGGTGACTTTCTGCCCTGCTGAGCCCCAGCCACAGAAGAGCAAAACGTGAAACTGCTGGGAAGGTGAACGTTTGCTGAATTCAAGGAAGACCTTATTGCAACTGCGATTTTGCTGAAAAACAGATTATGACAAAGTGGTGAAGACTGCATTGACGCATCTATCTTCTGCAACAGCAGCTGGAATGTACGTAATGGTGTGAGAAAATACAGAACTGGAAGTAATTGACTGAAGTTGTATTTTTGAGAAGGTGGTGGAGATCCCAAAGCTGTTACATGCAAGGAGTGGGATCTGACCACTTTCATGGGCTGGGTTTAACACTCGTTAAAATCAATGGGCTGAGAGTATTTACAAGTCCTGTTGTAAAATGTGGGGTGTTTGGTGTCCCTGTTCTGAAGGTCTGTTTTGAGACAAGGAGGGGACTTACCCATTTCTGTGCTAAGGGCTTGCTTTCATCCTTCCAGTGGCATGTTTAGTGATTCACTTTATTGTAATTTGGGTTTTTTTGCTTTATGACAGGATAAAGTTCATGACAACATCAGTGAAAGTGGCCACAGCACTGGCCCAAGACGTTTCATGATGGTTTTTCAAGGCAGGAGGAACTTGGATGCTGCAGAAATGCTTTTCCCAAGGCTTAATAGAAGGCAAACCTGCTTTGACTTGCTGGAGACACAGCTTGCAGTGTTGCCTGTGGATTTGTTACTACTCTCTGATTTAGTCAGCCTGTGCTGTTAGTACCCAGAGGTGTTGACTAAGATAAGAGTTTTGTTGCACAAGATGCTGGTTTGAGTTGCTTCTCCCTTTTGCTTAAGGGGAAAAAACAATGGCAAAGTAGAAACAGAAGCAAGTCATAGAACCTTCTCTCTCCCCTTCTGCCCTCTCTTACTCTATAGTAACAAGTAGTAGGAAGCAAAACTGGTGGATTTGAGAGTGACAAGAAACCAGTGATGATGGGTTATTGTTCACAGTAGGGTTTGTTTCCATATTTGCTGAAGCATATTTTGGAGGCCAGAGCCAAAGTGGGGTTAAACTGATGTCTGAGATGTACAGGCCTATAAGCAGAGGGATCAGGAAGTGCAGGATGGCTGCAGTGGAGGTGATGGCACAGATGTATGTAATGTGTTGGCAGGCACAGAACTAGAATACAAAGTGATGATGTGCTTTTTGTTTGTCAGTTTCAAGTTCAGCTCAGTCTGATGCCCATGGGGTCTGTACCTTGTCTGTCACCGTTCCTCTCTGCTCCCTCCATTGCAGGGTTTTCTTGATTCCATCGTGCTCAGACTGAAATAACTGCTCTGTGAGATCAAAGTCAGTGCTGATGGGGAAGCCTTTACCCTGAGCAGCATCACCAGGCAGGAGATGGTCACTCTCAAGCCAGAGTGTTTTAAAAATATCTGGCTGATTGAGTTACCTCTGCCTTGATGTTGGAGAACAGCCTGGGTATGGGCCCCGTAATTCTTCTGATTTTGGGAAAATCAAATCAAACCCAAGCCCAGGCAGTGCCAGTATTGGTTAATGCACCCTGCTGCCAGGCTTGATTGTTTGCTGAGTTTAAATGTGTGTCTGGTTCTCACGATGACTGTATCCTTCTGAAGAGGCTGTGCTCTTTTTTAGATGGCCAAAGTGCTATCATGTCACAGTGTTTCGGGGTGTTCAGAAAATGGCAGTATAAAGCCAGCAGATTTCTTGCTGTGCTTAAAAGCCTCTGAACTGAATATACTTTTATTGCACTCATGTTTCAACATCTGCTGCAAAATAATGATGTGATTATAGGTTCTCAGTCACTGATGTAATTTTTCTGGTGTTGTATTTGTACCCCTAAAGACTTAAATTGAAGTGATGGGGTAAGAGGTCAAGAATGTGGATTCTAGCCTATCTTTACCTGTTGGATTTTTAGGGAGACAGTGATAAGCTTCCTCTTTGTACAGATTATCTCACCCTGGTGTGTTCCCTTTCGGTGTCTCCATCCAACCTGCACCTCTTACTGCCTCTGGGTTGACCTTAAAGCACACAGGAATGCTGTACATTGCTGGGGATTTGGCAAATCAGTGATGGAGATAGAAAAAACAGGACCAGGGAGAAAACATGTGGGACACCAATAAAGTGACTGTAGGGATGCCTTGCATTTTCTCATGCTTGAGGGATCCAGGTGGGTGGAAATAGCAAGCAGTTCCAAGGAGTGCTAGCTGGTGCTTAGGGGTGAGGCTTTTCATCCTGCTTTTGGTTTGAAACAAACTGTCACATCAGAGAAAAGAATAAAGGGCTACAGCAAGTTCTACACTGTGTTTGGTTGCAAGTGGAAGGGTTTATTGTGCCCTTCCAACTCACAGGCTGTCACTGGCACTTTAGCTCTGATGGCTCAGCACCTCTCAGACCGCTCCAGCATCTCTTACCTTTTGTGGTTCATCAGCAGCTCTCTGTGCAGCTCTTGGTGGCTCTTTGAGGCTTTTATAGGATTTAGGAGCTTTTTAGGTTTGATGAGGTCTGGGTTTCCATCTATGTAGTCTGGGTGAGTCAGGATATTCCCACTGTCTGGTTGTTCCTGCTGTATTTCAGTGTATATTGATGCTGGAAGAAAAGAGATGTGTTTGCATGAGAAGTCTCTCCCTGCTATGGTGTGGGAATCCCTGGAGTTCTCCTCCCCTGGACAAGACAAGAGATGGTGCCTGCCCTGCTGCTCAACACCCGTGTCAGTGTCTGCGTGCACGTGCCTCCATGTGCTGCTGAGGGTTTTTTAGAGGCTTTAAAACATATTCCCTTTGTGTTGTTGATGAGACATTTATTAATTAGATCACTGAAATCACTTGCCAGCTGCTTACTTTAGTGCCTGTAGTGTTGAGTGCCAAGGATTAATTAATGCAAGATAGGTCTAACTAACACTTGAAACAGCCATGGATGTGGACTGTGCTGAGCTGCGGCTTTGCTCCTCCTGGCTGGGGTTGTCGGTCCCTTAGCACAAGGGGATGCTGTGGGGTTTGAGGGGCTTCCAAAACATGAGCCTGAAGAAGTGCTGCTGTGGCTGAAACCTCTTGTCAAGGGAAGGTTTTGCTGATATCCTGCTGGCATAATAATCAGGATTGAGCCCAAGGCTAAGAAAAGCATAATTTGCCCATGCAGTATGTGATCGTGCTGTAATAATTTGTATGTTGTGGATGTTAAGAACAAGAGTCCACTGTTTTGGAAGTGATGGTAACTTGGATTTCAGGCAAACCACGGGGCATGCTCACTCTTCATATTTTCCAAGTGCTGTATATTTCCCCTTTACAAAAAACGTATATAAAGTGAGTGCAAAGCACAAGTTATAAGACAAACAGCATGCAGCAGGCTGTGTCTTTAAATACAGAGCACAGTGGGGTTGCCAACAGTTATTCAGTGTACGGTCTAATCAGGGGCTCAGAAAGAACAATTTATTCCTGACTATTCACTTGAGCAATTTGGAAGTTTACCAGTGAGAACAAAAAGTCCCAGGAAAAGGGTATAGACAGCTCCATGTCTCCAAGTGTCTTATTACAGTATTTTTAGGGGCCCAGTGTGAAGCTATATGGGTTGGTGGAACAGCAAGGAAAACAGTTGTTCAGTAATGTTGCCTCATTCCCTTATTGCAATCTCATGTATAAAAGGAATAAAGCCCTTTCTTTTAAAGCAGAAATCAATAAAACAGAAGGCAAGAGAAAGCAGGCTAGGTTATTCTTTCAGTCAGTAAGTACTTATCAAATGTGAAGTGGATTGCAATCAAACAGAATTGTGTACAGAATAATAACCGCTGAAGAAATGACTCAATATCAAACAACTTCTCATTGAATGTTAATGTGGGCAGTGCCCTACTGCTTGGGGAACAAAGGAAAACAAATCAGAGCCCATTACACAAGTGTAATTGGGGTGAATAGTTCAGTACATATTTAAAGGGCGCTTGGAAGCTGGAACCAGTGCTTTCTTGTATCAAATTATTTTCCTCTAGCGTCATAGATCAGTGGTGGCAGAGGGAAGGTGGTGTGGTTTGATGTTTGTTTAATGGCAAGTGCCAGGCTGACTCAAAAGCCTGCAGGGTCGGATTCCACAGGTTGAAACTGGAGGCTCAGCATTGCCTTCCAGAGGGATGCAGGGATTGAAGAACAGCCAAGGGTTAAGGCAGCACGATTTCATGGCTAATTTCTGTTGGATGAAAGCCAGGCTCTGAACAATAAGAAAAAATGTTCTTTTTTCTCTTCTACTTCCCTTTTTTGGTCTTTTTGTCATAGGAGAAGAGGCAGACAGAAGCCAAGGAAGGAAGGTACAAAAGCAAAGGTTTGTTTTGGCATGAATGAAATGAATGAGCTCCCATTTCAAATGGCAAAGCAATGTCTTAATTCTTCAAGCAAAAAAGTTTCTTCATGGAGTAACTTAAATAAAATGAGAGGTGTTTTTAATGGAAACACCATTTCTGGACAGCTATAGTGACAAACTAGCCTCAGTGTCACTGTGATGTCCTGCTGCCCTTTTCCTACTGTTCCTGTCCTATCATTTAGATCAGAGCTGCCTCCAGTGAGAGAGATGCCTCTACTTGCTGTGTGCTGGATACCAAATCCTGCTGCACATCAGAAGAGCTGGGGGGTATTGGTATTGATCTTGGATTTGTCCATCCGAAATCTGCCTGTTGTGCTGTGCCAGGGGATAATGCAACGTGCAGTGAGCAAGGTACTGTAAATGGCTGTAACTGTAGTAACTTTGGTGGCTCTCTTTCTATGCGGTGTAGCTCCTGGGCCCTGCTGCTAAGGTCTGCTAGCTCTTGGTGCACTGGTGTAGCACTGCTACCGATAAAATGCTGTTTTCCTCTTCCTTCGTGATGTATGGGCTTCCTTTTGTAGCTCATGAGAGTCCCTTCTTCCTGCTTCCAAGACCCAGATCCCAGGAGATTTGCTTGGGGCAGGCTGTTCCACATCCACAATAGGTCTAATACCCAGTAGTGTACAATGCTATTCAATGTGTCATCCAACCCTTCAGGTTGGTCTTGTGCTATTTCCACCCCCCAGACACACAGGATGATCAGAAGCTTCTCCCTACTACCTTTTCATCCCACGAGCCTGGGGGACCCTCTGCTTATGCAGTATTTTGGAGGAGCACCGTGGTGAGGCTGCAGGTTTTGAATCAGTCAGCATGGTTATTTCCTGACTGCAGCAATCTAACCCTGTTTACTGGAGGCAGATGGGGAATTTTTCCCTGAAACGAGTATAATTGAAGAAAATACTTGGAAGGAGGAAGTGGGAGGAACTGAAACTGATTGGAAGCATTTCTGGCCAGGGCTGTTAAATCAGTATGCACAAGTCCTCACAATGAGTGCAATTTGCCTGAATGATGCTGCAAGAGCCAGGACACAGCAGGTAGCTCTGAGCTTGCTTTTTGCTGTGCTAGATCTGTCTAGGGCTGTGCAGACACCACCCTCGAGGATTTGGCTCATATTGCTGCCCTTGGGACAAAGTCAAAGCCTTGACCTTGTCCCCAAGGAGCCTTGAACCTCGTTACAAAACTCAGCATTTTAAACCTTCGGAAGACCTTAGTCTGGAACAATTCAAGGAATGCCTTCATTTTCATTGGGCAGGAAAAGAAAAGAATATAAAAATCCTGGTGCATCTGAAACATGGCTTGGGGTCATGCTGGGAATAAGGACAGGACATCCTTTCTGCTGCAGGTTGGCAGATAGGGACCCAGTGCAAAATGTTTGTCCTGTAGATCTGTCATCTTCAAGACCTGGTGTAATTCATGTCCCTGTAAGGGGAGACAGACTGCTATCAGGCTGCTTTTTCTCATTATTTATAGTGCTGGAGGTATAAATCCAGGCAGGTCTCTGCAGTGGATTTACAGCCAGATGTATGTTTTTCTCATGATTCAGCCGTAGATCAATGAACAAGGCTCTGCTCTCGCACCTCTTTGGCCACCATCATAAATCAGCAAAAGGTGTTAGATATTTCTATATTGTTCTTGGCAAGATATGAACAACAACTGCATGTACATTTTAATACCCTCTGCTGTACTCAGAAAAACAGCGTGACCTTTTAAATACGTCTGCTTTGGAGTGTTGCTTATAAAACGTCGCTGTGTTTGCTTCAGCTTACTCAGTCTTTTGCTTGCTTTTGAATATTTTCCCTTTCCTCATTTCTAGAAGCCTGAGGCTTCTAGGAAAGGTACCTCGCAAGAGAGTGGCCAAAGTGACTTGTCTGTAAGGAAAAAGCAAGGCTGCCTGGATGAGGAGCCAGAGCCACTGGCAGATACGTGGACTTTTATCTCTACTCCCAGCCTTAGCTGTGAAATGAGCTCCCAGTCTTGATTTGTTTTCTAAGAGACTCCACAGGGAATATTGATATCTTTGAGGTGTCTCAGACCAGCCACCCTCCTTCCCCAGGGTGTGGAACTGGCTGGAAGGGAAAAGTGACATTGTAGCATCTTGGTCATTTCTGACCAAATCCTTGCTCAGACCACCTGGAAATGCTTATAAATCCCCCACTTCCTGTGAAACATGATAAAAATCCGCAGTCTGCAATCCTGGGGCAAATTGTTGACACTTCTGATTATACTCAGCTCCAATATTTTGGGGCACAGGGTATCAGGCAGGTTTGGTGCATCATTAAGTTCCTTTGAAAACCTAAATATTCCAAATAATGCATTAAATATACCCTGCTAGGAACATAAAACACAAGGGGCTGCTTGGACTGGCTCATGCCCAGGGATAGGCATTGGACACAGGTGCTTGGTCACGGCCAGAGCTGAGCTATGCTTCCTTTTGCTGCTGCTGCTCTTTGGTTTTCCCTGACTTGGGGGATGTGCCCTTCACAGAGCATTTATTTAGGATTAAGTGATTTGTCTTTTCTTGGTGGGTTGCCCTGTGAGACCCTCTGCATCTGGACTGTGTGCCTTGTGCTGCTCCTTGTGCTGCGGCTGGCAGCCTGTTCCACCATCCTGTTGGGATGGAAATAATCCTCAGGAATGTTAAGGGGATTAACAACAGCCTTGGAAAGGGCAGGTAACCACAGGGGTCCAGCTTTGCTTACAGCTGCCTGCATGGCTCCAGCCTGTTCTTCACAAAGGGAAAATCTAAAGGAATTGAAAACAAAATTAATCCAAAGCTGTTGGGTGGAGGTCTGGGCTCCTCGCAACTTGTGACTGCTTGGGAGAATGGGTGTGCAGCGGTACACCCCCATTTTTTGCTGACACTGCTCTTTGTGTCAGCACTTCACTTTACCTGAAATCTATAAAGCAAACGTAGTTCACAGTCTTTTATTTCTGCTACCTGTGTCATTTAAGGACTGATTTTCCAACTTGAGCATCTCAGGGCAGATGATGACCAAACTGCTCTTGTTAAAATATACTGTATGGGCATCCCTTCCTGGGCAGAGATGAGCCTCTGTGAAGTGCCATCCACATAAAAACAGGCAGCAGGCTTTATTCTGCAAATGGGATTCAAGCTCAGCGGATACTGCACTTTGTAAATTCTGTGAAACCCTTTTAAGGTCCTGTTACTTGGTAGAACGGATGAGACTGAGCAACACCTTCAGGACACCCAGGGTCAGAGCTCTGGGTCTGGGTTTGTAAAACCACTGACTCAAGGGACTGTTTTCAGGGCAGAACTGACCACTTAAAACTGTGGCTACAGAGAAGAACCTCTGGCTTTCTGGATGCCTGGGGTTTATTCATGAATGCATCTCTTTTAAAGCCAACCGATTAAGGAAGGGCTGCTGAAAGGAGCTGGTCATACACATCCTACAAGTAAAACCAACACACTCAGCACGGGTCAGCAGAGCTGGTTTGAGCTGTTTGCACAAGGAACCTGAGCCTGGGAAATGCTGTGAGTTTCTGACACATTTAACTGCAATCATGGGGAAGCCTTCCCTTTTCTGGACTACAGCATCCGCTCCCTGGGGAGCCCTCCTTTCCCCACGATGAGGGTTCCTGGATGGGAACAGGAGAGAGCATGGGATCTTTAAACTAGCCTCAGCTCCTTTTAAGCACTGATACACACACACTTCTATCTGTTAACTAAAAGTTGAGATTGGTTTTTTTTTCATTTTAGAACATGAGATTTCAGTCAATGCATGTTCCCTGTCTGACATGGAGCTGAGGTTTAGTCCTACACCTTTGCCCATGAGAGTGTAATAGCAGAAAAGGTCCCGCTGTATGTTAAGACTTACAAATAATGAAGCTGAAAGTTTGTCATCTGGAATTGATGGGTTTTGGTAATTTGTGTGATTTTCCTAATATTAATTGTAATTCAGATACACAGAATAGCTGGGGTTGGCATCATAGGGCAGGGAAACAATTGTATGTCTGTCTCTGTGAGCCCCAAAGCTTCACATGGCCAGAACAGCTTCTGGGTGTGCAACTACATAGTTGGAGGATCCCCTGCTGGGAGGACAAGTGATTTGACCTCAAACCTGGGCACTTGATTTTGGAAGCTGCTTTCTGCATGGTTGATAGGTTGAGGGCAGAGTAAGGCACACAGATGCCAGCTTTAGAGGGTTGGGTCATAGAACCGTGGAATGTTTTGGGTTGGAAAGGACCTCAAATCTCATCCAGTTCCGACCCCCTGCCACAGGCAGGGACACCTTCCACTAGAGCAGGTTGCTCCAAGCCCTATCCAACCTATCCTTAAATGATGACCCTTGAATGATGCTCTGTGAGGGGAGGCTTGCAGGTCCTGGAAGCCTGGGTGAGTGATTGGTGAGTCCCCACAGCCAAACTTGCAAAACACACTCTACTGCCCCAAGTAATCCATGTGTGGCTGCTACACAGTAAAACCCAGACATATCTGACATTCCTTCACATTAGCTTAATGACTGCTGTGACTTAATGCTCTGATGACAATGTTAACAACTTGATGCTGTTGTTGATGATGGTATTATTATTATTATTGTTGATAATAATATTATTATTAATAGTAATATGGTGAACTCAAAAACTGGCAGATGCTAATCATTACCCTCCCTGGGCGAGATGTACTAGCTCCCATCCTCACTGTGATTTTCCTCTCTTGTTCCTGCTGTGCCGGCAGCTCAGGAGCATCTCTTACTGATGGACCTGGCATGCTCCCCCTTGCTTGTCACGAGGTGACCGTATCACAAATAAATGATACGTGTGCTTTGGACAGGAGGCAAAGAGCCTTTGTCTGCTTCTAATCTATACTTTTAAATAATTAAGCAAGGCTAATTCTGGTAGTTATAATGCAATAGGATGAACGTAACTTGATGTGGCTGCCATGGGAAGCCGTTCCCAGCTATCAACAGGCTGCCTCGGGGCAGCAGGCATGCACACCCTTGGTCCTCTTCACTCAGACCTGGCATTCAGGGATAATGCCCATGAGGTCAAGGGGTCAGAAAGGGAAAGATCCCTAATGGAGATGGAGAATGAGGCAAGGGGACACAACCTTGAAGCTCCCAGCTTCAAGTCCAAGTCTAGCCACTGCCCACCCTTGCCGAGCACCATGCCAACCTAAGGGGGGGCACAGAGCGGGCACTGGGCTCAGCCTGGACTGCTCATACACAACCTTCCACCATCACCCCAAAATGCAAAGGATCCCGGGTGTCATGGTGGTCACCCACTGAGCTTTGCACTCACACATGTGTGTTTGAAGAAGAGGAATCAAGGCACGCCTGGAGCTAGCTCAACTCTCTGGTTTGCAGAAGTTACTGGTTCCCTCTTTTGGGTTGGGTAACGCTGGAAGCGCTTGTACAGTCAGGCAGCAGCAAACTCCCCTCTGCCTGCAGGCAGGCAGGATTGGGAGTGCTGGTTAATCATTTTGTTTAATTACCTTGGACTGTGATAAGCAAAGGTAACAGGGCTGGGATCCCACTCTGTTAGCAATCACCAAGGGACGTCAGTCCCATACCTTTCGCAAGCAGCATGTTTAGTTTTGTTAAGCAGTGACAGATGCCTAGCAGTCTTTCTCCATAATCACAAACTTACTTTTAGTATCTCATCAAAATTTGCCCTGCACATTTGCCTGCCTATGATAGAGACATGCATCAATCATTAATGAATGTTTTAAGGTAGCTCAAAGGTATTTTGTGGAATGCATAGAAAATCCTCCCACATTGAACTGCAGGGATTGTATTAGCAAGTGCCCCCTGTTCAGCCCAATGACTCTCCAAGAAGGTTTGAATTGCAGCTAAGGGAATTCCTGTGGGATACAGGTCCATTTTGAAAAGCAGAAGCAAAAGGACAGCTTCTCAACCAGCTACTGAAGTATTATAACACAGTATCTCAAATAACATTTAAACCAGGGTCCAAAGTCACTGTGTTCAACCATGTATGCAGCACAGACTAATCCCATGGGGGCTTCCTACAATGGGGAGCCAGCAGAGAAGCAGGGACCCCCTGGCGCAGCCCAGGGGTGCTCGGGGCTTACCTGATTTCCGCAGCGTGGCCTTGGAGAGCCCGGAGGACAAGTGTTGCCCCGTGCCCCATGACATGGCTCTGCTCCTGCCCGACTGCACTCACACCTGCAGGACTGATGGCCAGGTCCGATGGAGCTGCCCGGTCTCTCCAGTGGGAGCAGGGATGGAGTCACGTGGAGGTGGCTGCTGCGCTGGTGCTCCCTCCCTGCCGCTGTCACCACCCCACAGGGACCATGCTGAGGGCTGGAGTTTGGCTGGCAGCAACCGGTGCCCGCTCTCTCTGCCACCCTCCAAACTTGCTCCCTTTGCTCCTCGTTGCCAGACAATGTTTTCCCAGGATGGATGAACAAGGTAATAGTTTCACCCCCAGCAAAAGCAAACAGTCCTGTGCATGCCCAGCACTGCTGCTGGTGCAGAGGTTGTGTCTGTGCTCCACAGAGTACGGCTCCTCTTAAGTGTGCCTTCACCACGCTCCCAGAGAAATCAGATCACCCTAGAGGAAGCTGCACGCCCACTCTCTTTAGCAACCACTGCAACAGCCAAGCCTGGCACCGGGGCAACCGCTCCAGTTATCGTGATCATTCCCTGGTGTGTTGCAACACCCTATCATCTACCAACTGCTGCAGGTCCAGGGGGAGCAGTGGCTGCACCCCATGGGGAAGGGGATGCAGAGGGAGCAGCAGCCCCTGAGTGGGGTTACAGGCATCCTGGTGGCACCAGGGCTGAGTGATGCTCCTGCATCACCCTGCCAAATCTCACCCTGCTGAGATGCAGCTGCTGCCTGGATTGGGCATCTTGTCCCCGTCCCTGCTGTGGCTGGAGGTGTCATGTTTACTGTCCCTGAATTGCCCATGGCCTGTGAAACCAGCGGCTGCAAAGCTGGTGGAAGAGAAGGAGTTAAACCACCCCAGCAGCTCCTTTTGGCTCTTAGGTGGGTGCTGAGTGCAGTTCTGTCCAGGTCACCCTATGCCAGCCTGCAGATGACCAGTGTTTCAGCCTCAGGAGATAGGCAGGGATGGGATGAAACCATTTCCACCGAGAGGAAAAGGATAAGGGAATCTGGGGGCACTGCCATGGTACCCAGCCACATTCACATGCTGCAGCACCCATGGGTGCACACACCATCACAGCCATGTCCTGGCCTGATGCTTTCAGCCCTGTGAAGATCTGGAGAACGAGTCCAGGCTGCCACAGGTGTGTGTGGAGGTGGAGGCTGGGGTGCTTATTCACTTATTTTCACCTCTCCACATTTTGCTCCTCTCCACATCCCAGCATTTTCCCTCTCCCCAGCTGTGTTTTCCAGCCAAGGACTCAGCAGCGCTGCATGTGAAGAGAAGCCCCAGCCTCTCCCAACTCTCCTTGCAAAGCCCTCCATGGGGCAGCCAGGCTGATGGCACTCACCTGAGCCACTGCTCCTGGGCTTCCTGCTCCCACTCGGACACTTGGGCTGAAGGGAGTATTCTTTCTGGAAGACAAGAAAGAAATGGGAAAGGACTGTGCAGGTATAGCTCTGTTACAGCAGAGGAAATGCAGGAGGAGTTGCTGGTCACTTCCTATTGGAGACTTCAAAAAATTATAATTATTTTTAATTTCCTGACCAGGAGCTGTTAAATTTAATTGCCTCAGATGCAGGAGCATCAGATGCAGGAGATGAGAGGCAGGCTGGTCTGCATTCCCCAGTGTGTGTGGTGTGTGCCTGCATGTGCTTGCACAAGCACGGTCAGCCCAATCCAACCACCCGTGGGATAGATACAGGCAGAGTTTTCAAGATCTCACACAGCTTTTGCCCCTAGATCAAGGATGTGGTGGAGGAGAGGCTTGAAGTGGGGAGGCTGTGCAGTTTGTCTGTTCAAAGCGCAACCTGCCTTGCAGCCCATGAGCTTTTTGTGGCTGTGCAGATTGTGCTCATATTACCCATTGCAAACTCAAAAAGAAAATAAAATTGACTCAATCTAGAACTGAAGGAGATGGATGTACCTCCATATTGCTTCTCTGGGACTGCCTTTAAACAAGCTAAAGCTCAAAACCTGGTGTTGTGAGTTCACTGAAGGCATGTCAAAGGGGGGAAAGAGCATCAAAAATGCTTTGAGCTCCTGAGTGTGGTTATGGCTGGTAGATGAGGGAGTGGAAAAGGGCTGTGATCCATCAACAGCTGCTGTCAACTGAGTCAAATACATTGGAAAAAAGCCAGCTAAATTTTATGGACATGTCTGACACACACTAGTGCCTGACTTGCTGCACATCTGGGCTCTTCTGTGCAAGGAAGTGGGTTCGTGGTGTGCTTACATCCTCCTGCCTTGGAGGACTTTTCATGGCAAAGCTGTTTTTCCAGGAGCTCCTTGCACAGTAATTCTCTTTGCTATGTGAGTCAGTAAGAAATTTCACCCTGTGCTTCTGAACCTTTGGGATCAACAAAAAGCCTTTCTATTCCCTCTGTAGCTCCCTGAAGGTTATTGTGTGGAGACAGTTGACTGCTCAATGGTATTTACCTGGAGTGGCTCCTGCAGACAAGGAGGTATGTCATTCACTGCCCCTGTGTTTCTTATGCAGTGGCTTCATGTCCCAGAAGAAGGTGACATGGAGAGCTCATTCCAGCATCACTCATTGCACCTGCTGTGCCCGGCATGTCCCCAGGGATGGGGCAGCCACAGCTTCTCTGGGCACCCTGTGCCAGCGCCTCAGCACCCTCACAAGGAAGAGCTTCTGCCTAAGAGCTCATCTCAATCTCCCTCTGTCCAGTTAAAGCCATTCCCCCTTGTCCCGTGAGCTGGGCAGCTCTGGCACAGCTCTGACACAGCTCCAGCGCAGCTCTCTGACACGTGTAGCTATAGAGGACCCATTTCTTGGGACTCTGACTCTGTCCTGCTTGAGGAAGGGATGTGTTCTTTCATCCAATGTCATGTAAAGATAAAATAACATTCATTGTGCTGAATGTGGACCTGGAGTGTCACTGATGGGTGGCTGCATAGTTAATTAAGAAATGCTGGGATGAGGAAGATGGCTCTGGAGGAGCCCACAGCCAGCTCCTCATTACTGGGGCTGCACATTAGATTGACTTCTAGCTGCGGGGTTACTTTGCTGGTGATGTTTGCTGCTGGCTGTCACTTCTCCAGCCAGTTGCTGTGGCACCAAGAGTTTTCTTGTATAGACACATCTCCTGTGTATTTAAAACCCCAGGCCTGCCAAGTGAGTACCCAACACAAACACTGGCTTTCCCATGGTTGTGTAATGCAGCCAGACTGTGTGAAGGCACTGACAGTGAGATAAAGCTGCCGCCAGTGTGGGATTGTGGTCCACCTGCTCGAAGTGCCGAGGAGCCTGGATGCAAGCTGTGAATTACAGAGCAGACAGCCCTGCCTGGCCCTGCCTGCCTGTATCTTTATTAAATCTCCACTCTCAGCACAGGGTTGGGCGTGCAGCATCGCTGACAGTCATGTCCAGGTTCCTGATCCACAGATAAAATGCTGGCCCCACTGAAGTCACCCAGGGCTGGGATTTGAAGGCAGACAGGGCTTCACCTCCTGCTTCAGGGAGGTCCTGGAGGCTCGTTAAACATTTCCCCTGCTGGATTAATGCTAGATGTTGGCTGAGGCACTGCTTGTGGTGGTTGGGACTGGGCAGCCCAGCCTGCCCTCCCACCCTTTGTGGCCCCAAGCATAAACTTCATGCAAGTCCCTTCAGTTCTTCTGGTTGCACTGTGGTGGTGACCTTGGTGGTGGCAAACCCAAGGGCAGGGGCATGTAGGCTGGTCAGAGCTCTGCCTGGTCCCTAATACCCCATCACCTCCATGGCATGAGGTGGCTGGAAACACACTTCTGCTAATCTCCACTCAAGCCATTAGTGTGTTTGCAGAGCAGAACAGCTTCTTGCTCCTCCCCGGCTCACAGGGGGCAGTTAATGATTGCCTAGATGATAGAGACTTTTGCCTGCTCTCCATGGGACAAAGTGGATTATGGAACTCTGCCCTTGACAGCTGGGGAGGGGAATGGAATCAGAGGACTTCATCTGTCATGGACAGGGAGGGTGTACTGCAGTAAATGGGTGGAAAATGTCTGTTATTTCCCAAATCTTCCCATTTCCATGTGAAAAACACTTCTGTATGCAGTGTGACTGCATCTAGGAGTAAAAAGTAGTAATAAAATCTATCACTGGATGGTAACACTACACCCCTCTGCAGGTGAGCAGGACAGATCCAGGCATCCTGAAGGATGAAGGAGGAAATGCCCCAAGTCTGCCTGGTGCTTGCATCAGTGCCAGCAGCAACCATGCCAGGGAATTTCTTCAGCAACAGAGGAAGGACCCTGGAGACACTGCTTATGGGCATAGGTACCTCTTCCAACCTGCAGACCAGCTCATCCTGGGATCCCCAGCCTGCTCTGACCATGTCAGTAAGGGCACCCAGCACACGAGCTGGAATTAGTGGGGTTAAATGCAACAAAGCAATGTGAAGTATAAATAGTAGGTAGTTTCATATTGTACTTTTACTATTCTATGTTACTCCCAAACGTCCTGGGCATCATTATATCCCAGCAGGACTGTTCCTGGCTCTGACTCCATTGAACAAAGAGATCCAAATGTCTGGAGGCAGTTTTGCTTTGTACCACCAGCTCTTAGCAGGTATCCTCCTCCACAGTTTCCCAACTTGGAGAGTGCAATGCTCCTACTGCAGCTTAAAGCCAGCCTCCATGTACAAACCATTAATCTGTGTTCCTTCTGCATATAGGTGCCCTAATATTTACTTGTAGCAGAATTGATGGCTGGTAATTTTGGACCATGTTTGTGCTTTGATGAAAGCAGTTAGGGAGATTAGCTGTCAGCATGGTCAGACCATGAGCCATGGAAAGGGCGACAAGAATGGTTTCAGGCAGGTTCAGATCAGTGCAGGTGCCATTAAGGTGTAGTATCATAGCATCTATATTGCACTGTAGCTGAAGTCTGAGATAATAAATTAGGCAAGAAATTGCTGCAATCAGATCATGGTGATAAAGAGGTATTAAAGTGGACAAAATGCCACCCAGCCTGAGAACGGATGTGGAACAGACTTGGTTTTGGGAGGGAGGCACAATTAGCAGGGCTGGAAGTTGCCCAACGTATCTGGGAGTTGATGGGCTCAGGGAAAGGTACTTTGTCCGTAAGGTGCACTAGCAGCTGCTGACATGGATATTCAATAAATGAACACATCAATTGATTAAAATAGTCTTATTGCTTTAACCTGGAGGCTTTGAAAGAAGTTCAAACTGGAACAAGGCATTGATGGTTGGCAGATCAATGCCAGCATTTCTGTGTGTGAAGAACCCACAAAACATGTGATTTAGAGGTTAAGCAAATTGAACTCTAGCACTCCTTACAATTAGCCCCAAATACCCTTTTGCTGCTCCTGGTGCTGTGTATGAAAACACCTCTTACATGCTCCAGGATATTGAGATACTGTCTAAAGTGTTGCCCAAATCTCCTGTGTTTTTGCTGAATTTTGGTCTATCTGTGCTCATCTGCAGCAGCTGGCACTGATCCAGAGACCTCAATGAAATCATCCACTGGAAGAAACTTTTGAGGGTTAG